AGTTTGAATGGAGCAAGGTTGTGTGTAAGAAGTGGGAGTGGAGATAAAACTGGAAAGAGAGAGTGAAGTCAGGGAGTATAATAAACACCTCACTAAGAAATACAAACTTGGGGCGCCTGGGTGGCGCAGTCGGTTAAGCGTCCGACTTCAGCCAGGTCACGATCTCGCGGTCCGTGAGTTCGAGCCCCGCGTCGGGCTCCGGGCTGATGGCTCGGAGCCTGGAGCCTGTTTCCGATTCTGTGTCTCCCTCTCTCTCTGCTCCTCCCCCGTTCATGCTCTGTCTCTCTCTGTCCCAAAAATAAATAAATGTTAGAAAAAAAAAAAAAGAAATACAAACTTTATTCAAAAGGCAGAGAAGCTTGTAGCAGGGAAGATACATGATCAAAGTTAGATTTTAAAATTAACCTGATAGTGATTGGAAAGTGGACAGAAGGACCAAAAGCGAGTTAAAGGTTTAGGGAAGCAACAACATAGGGCAGAACAAAAGTGATATTACTGGGAATGAAGAGATTGGTGAAAAGATATTATAGGAAACTTTTTGTAGGAAATAATTTGACTAAAAAGGAAAGAATGAAGAAAGGAGAAGAGGAAGAGATGACCCTGTGTTTCAGGGCAAATGGTAATGTCTTGAGCGGGAGATGTGCAAGACCAGGTAAGTACAGTTATGACAGCAGAGGTGCTACATTTAAGACGTACTGATTCTGATGAGCCAATGAGAGACCCAGATAGGAATTTACATATTCATTCACTGTGTGAGCATTTACTGTCCGCCTATTCAATGGAGATCCCTTCCCTAAATACTTGGGATAGATCACAATCACTACAGAAGGAATATTTTCTTATTGCTCGTCCCCGTTTAAGAGACAATAAAGTGTCCTATTCAAATCCAGTTCTCTAAAACATTTCCAAACCAACATGTTTGAAAAAATGGGCACCTTCCTCTGAATTTCTGTACATTAATGGTCTGTAGTGAACTGAAAACAGGCATCATTTTTTGATATTCTTGGAATCTCCCACAGTACCTCATTCAGAGTGGGAATTCAGTAATGCAGTTTGGCCAGGGGATTTCTTTTTCCTTTTACCTTCTATGATAAGAATACATCTTTTCTTAGCCTTGTAAAGCAGAAAGATCAGTAACATTTCACATCCAGAATACATGGCCACTATAAAAGGAGCCACAGAAGCTAAGTCGGCCTTGGACTGTGAAAAAGAATTGAATAATGGCAGAGCTAAGAAACGGTATCCGACTTTCAATAGCAACAATTTTACAAACAAGAACAGGCAGCACAAAAATTTTAACAAAGTTGTACCCAAATAACAAACCCAAAGCAGGAACTAAGACATCCCATGAAAGCTCCTCTAGGTTATTTCTAGAAACATTCTGAAAGTCAAATAAATCCCTGCAAACATTAAAATAAAAACTCAGGTCTAATTATTCCCTCCAGGAAGTTTGCTTTTTCAGGTATGCTACACTTGAGGACTATTCCAACTGATGTTGGAATGATGAAAAGGAGTATGGATACAATTTTAGAAACAGCAACATGAAATGTACGTGATGTAACCCTAACAGCCTACTATATATATAAGAATTGGCAAGTATCATCAGGGCCAATAATGTTGAAGTTATCAAAATGGCAAAAAATGAGATCTCCATCTAGAAGCAGATCAAAGAAATAGACCCCACTCCTCCTGGGCATGTGTAGGTCATTACAAATCCAAAGCGTATGTTGTGCCTCTTTTAACACCAAATTCTGTGTCCAAAGAAATCCATAAAATGGCCTAAGAAAAAAATTGTGTAATTGCCCCAATTTGCCAAGAATTACTGGCAAAAGAGTCTTTCATACTGTTTGAAACATCTGCAATTCAATATTGCAACCAAAAGCACTTTGATAGAATAAGCACTAGGGTATTTCAATCAATACGCATTAATGCCTTGAAGACCATCTTTGCTTTGTTTAGGCACTTTGACTTTAACATTACCTCTTGAATGAGTCTTTCTTGCCTACCTTCAGAATCCCATAGTTGAATGTTCAAATTTATGTCTCCATCTTCACCTGTCATAAGGTTTTTGTCACAGTCACCACTTGAAGCAGTTTAAGATCATCTAATTGCAAAAAGAGATGGCTGGAGTCTGGCCACTTAGCTCCTAACTTGATCTTCTGATGACCATTTCTTCATTCTTTGTGAAAAATAGTTTTTCAGTCTTTGCTCTATTCAGAACACTGAGAAATGACTTCCTTGCCTCTCCCAGAGTCATAAACCACAAAAGCAGGACTAAGGCAGGGAAATAACAAGTTTGCTAATCATTCTGAAAGTTTAAATAAATCACATATGCAGCAAAACTGTTTTTTAAAAAAGCTACAGAACATTCTTTTCAAGTGATAGGACTTAGGTAACAATTGTTTTGCTGGATCAAAGTCCAGTAGGAGCATGACTATCAAGCTTTTCAAAATACAAAGGTATCTAGTGAGGGGCGCCTGGGTGGCTCAGTTGGTTAAGTGTATGACTTCAGCTCAGGTCATGAGCTCACGGTTTGTGGGTTTAAGCCCCACATTGGGCTCCTTGCTGACAGCTCAGAACCTGGAGCCTGCTTCAGATTGTCTCCCTCTCTCTGCCCCTCCCCTGCTCATGCTGTTTCTCAAAAATGAATAAACATTAAAAAAAAAATTTTTTTTTCAACTTTTTTTGTTTTTGTTTTTTTTTTTTATTTTTGGGACAGAGAGAGACAGAGCATGAATGGGGGAGGGGCAGAGAGAGAGGGAGACACAGAATCGGAAACAGGCTCCAGGCTCCAAGCCATCAGCCCAGAGCCCGACGCGGGGCTCGAACTCACGGACCGCGAGATCGTGACCTGGCTGAAGTCGGACGCTTAACCGACTGCGCCACCCAGGCGCCCCAACATTAAAAAAAAATTTAAACAAAGGTAAAAACAAAAAACAAAACAAAGGTATCTAGTGAGTAACACAACCTGTTGAACTTGTAGTTATGAAAATGTAAAAGCCACAGCTTTAACAGATTGGATTTATCAAGCCGAAATCTAATCTCTTTCCTCCAGGCTTACTCAACTAAAAACCCTAAAAAGAAAGCTTGAGAAGGCTGTCTGATTTCAGGGTAGTTTAGAAATGAGAAGCTAGAGAGACTTTCTCTCTTCCCCACAGTCTTGTTCTCTTTAGGGGACTACTCATGCTGGAACTCCTGGTCCCTAGAGTCTGAGGATGCTGGTACCTGTGTCTCTTCCAGACTGGTCTGCTCCACTATCTGGGACCTGACCTAACTTACCACCAGTATCACTATTGACACAAGTCCCTCCATGCTGCTGTCTCTTCTCTAATCAAGGATAGGACCTCTTCTTCATTTTCCCCCCTCAATCTCTGCCAGCCTTACTTCCCCTTTTCTCAGCACTCATTGCTATTTTTCCTGGTATATTTAGCTTTAGTTCAATTTATGAGGCATGTGTTGATCACCTACTATGTGTAAGTAATTATAACAGATGCTAAGGTATTTAGTCTGTGTTAAAACTTTCTGGTATTTGGGAATATATTTAAGGATTATTTCTACTTCTGGTCCTGTAGTTTCTGATAAGAGGGCCACTGGAACATAGCTATATTTACTGTCTGCTTACTCATTTGGCACCTGCTACAGAGTTTTGTATTATAGTTATAAGAATGTATATATCTCATCATATTCACTGCCACAATTATAATCATATTCTTGTTTGTTAAAGTAGTTATTTGAGTGCCTACCAAACAAATGTGTCAGTAGTTGACAGCAGTCAGAAGTTACCTCTATTCCTTGCATGAAAGATGAAGAGAGAAAATGAATATTCTGAGTTTATTCCTTTATTTAATTACACCTAAAACCACTATATGTGTCCATGATAATTAAAATAGAAAAGGGACAAAGCCTTCCCCAACAAGGGACAAAAACAAATAGAAATTATTTCTATTCCTTCCATGTGGTAGTACTTTGTTGAGTACTGATGGAATATATCAGTCAGACACATCACTTTAAATATATTTTTTTAAGTTTATTTTTGAGAGTGAGAGAGTGAGCGCGAGCAAGCATGAGCAGGGGAGGGGCAGAGAGAGAGGGAGACACAGAATCTGAAGCGGGCTCCAGGCTCTGGGCTGTCAGCACAGAGCCCAACGTGGGGCTCGAATTCATGAATGGTGAGATGGTGACCTGAGCCAAAGTGGGACACTTAACTGACTGAGCCACGTAGGCGCCCCAATCAGACACATCATTTTAAAAATAGTTAGGCATGTATTTTGCATTGATATAAAGACACTGTAATGAAGTTGTGCTACCTCACCTTTCCTCTCATTTGTAATACATTTACATAAATAAAGGTGAATCCTATTGCAAGAGGATCTTTATCAGAGAGATATGCCCCAAAGCAGTTAGGGGACACCAAGAAAAACCATTTCCTCTTCCTAAGCCTGAGATTCCTCTCATCCAAAAACTTGGAGACCATCTCATTCACTCTTGTAAGTTTCTATGATTCATGTACACACATCAATTTACACATATTGACATACAGTTAAGGCTATACTTCCTGGCCTCATGATGCTAGGCTTAGCCATGTTACGTGTATCTTCTAAAAGTCAGCTCTTTCTTCCTCTGTCGTAAAAGTAGCAATATCCAAAATGCAGTCATTCCTTCCTTCAGCTTAGATCCTAGAGTAACGGTGATATGCAGCAGAGTCACAACCAATCAACAGCTGACATTAAAATAAATGAAATATACCTTTTTTGTTGTTACTAACCATAACCTAATAAAAGCTAGTTAAATACAAAAATTTGCTAATAATTGAATGTCAGTTCATAGCTTAAAACACAAAAACTCAAATTCAATTTAACTGAAAATTGATAATGGAAATGACATAATGGAAATAAATTAAAAGGGAACTTTTAGGAATAAACATATGTGATATGTGTAGTAAAAGAAATGGACTTAACAGAGAATTTTCCTCATCATTTCTGGCTTGAATCCTTACATGACTAATCCAAATAGGAATCAACATTTTTTAAAAACTGTTCTTCATCATTAAGATATTCCAAGATAATATTTCCACCATTATACAAAGGGCAATCCTCCTTAGCGATCCAGGTTTCCAAAGTATGATCCAAGGGTAAGACTTCTCCTGAAGTAACGTGACATAACCTTAATTTCTGTTAAGGGAAATAAATCATACTGTAATAAACAAACATGCTGGTAAAAGAGTATCCTAAAACTTTTACGAAAAAATTATGACCAGTTGTTACCTTAGCTGTTAATTTATTATTGTCATTTTTAAGACTGGTTAAAGAAGCCGCAAAGTCTATGGCTTTTCCGATGCTCCATCGTTGGCAAAAGAACATTGGTTTGCTCTTCTCTTTGCTCCCCTTAGGTAAGAAAACCTGAAGGTAAACTCTTTCTTTCTGTAAAAATAAAAAGTTAAAATATAGATTATGTATATGACACAGGCATCTCTTTTTGTCTCATGACCTCTCTTCCTGTCTTCTCCTGGTTAGAGGACTACCCTCTAATGATACAACTTTTAGTAGGAATACCAATCATAGTACCCATGAATCCACCTAAATGCATGGGCATAGGACTGAAGACCCTAGCTAGGGTGGTCTGTGCAAACAGAAGCATGTAATGTAAAACAGGCCAAGCAAAGCCTTTTCCTGAGATTTTTAAAAAATTTTTTAATGTTTATTTTTGAGAGACAGAGACAGAGCATGAGTAGGAAAGGGGCAGGCTCCAGGCTATGAGCTGTCAGCATAGGGCCCAATGTGGGGCTCAAACTCACAAATCGTGAGATCATGACCTGAGCTGAAGTCAGATGCTTAACCGACTGAGCCACCCAGGCACCCCTCCTGGGATTTTTTTATGTTCAAAAGCTAGAAGGAGGGAAGAGCAATCTGGTTGTTTGTTTTTTTTTTTTTTTGTTTTTTTTTGTTTTTTTTTTTTAAGTCTTATTGAATTAAACCTGAAGTTACCTATCTATCCCCCTCCAAACCCTCTTAGCTGTTCCTGAACTAATGTGGAAAAGTTTCCTTAAATGGGAAAGGACTCCAACACAGAGAGAAAAGTCAAGGAAACAGATGGACTCTTTCAAGAGGATGAGTCCTGGAATCCAGTCATCCCTTGAGATCAGATCAATGCATCACTCCCCATTATAGGATAAAAAAAATTGTTTTCATTAAGTTATTGTTATCAAATTTCTGTCACTTGCAATTTAAAGTTTCCTGATACATAGCAACATTTCACCTGAAAGACCTTACTACATATTTAGTTGCAGCAGGGCTCTCGAGAACAAAAGGTCCAAACAATCAATAAAATAAGAACCATAACAAAACAGAACGATTCAGAGATTTGGAGATGGTTCCTCTAGTATTTTATGCCCTATATGCTTCCTTACATTGTATTTTCTTGCTAAGTTAACAAATGCAGGAGGAAAAATAAAGAGGAGCAAAGGTGTTTGGCCCCTGATCTTCCCCGATTCCTAACAATTGCTTTAACAAAGTGTGGCTTTACAGACCAATTCCTGCTACAATAAATATTTTGTTATAATTGGATTATTTCTTAATTATAGGGGAAATATCACAATTATGGTAAGAAATAATAGATTCAACACGATTTCCATCTAAACACAAAGGAATTTAGATTTGTTGAAAACCAGTGAAATGTGTCATAACAGGTAACAAGTATTAAAAGAAAAAAAAAATTATCAGAAATTCAAGCCTTGGGCCAATTCTATAACTTAATAGTTCCTGCTCCAAAGCAAGGTAACAAGAGCAAAAATACAAAAGGAAAGAATGTAAAAGTTATAGCCTCACTGAAAGGAAGGAAGGTGGGCAGGAAGGCGCAAGCAAAATATGCTTGAGGATCAAAAACATAACAAATGCAAACAAGTGATAGGTAGGCTGAGCCACAGACTTTCAAGGTTCCAGAAGACAAAGTAGGAGCCAAGAGTTCAGCTTGTGGGTTAATGGGAGACCACAGTGCTGCATGGAGGTGAAGTATCTGGCTCCGGCTCACTGCTTGGAAGGAGAGGCTAGTGTGGACTTGTGCTCTAGGAAAGAAAGTTGAAGAAGGTGCTGCTGAATGCTGACTACTGCTTACAGAAAGTAATATTTAGGAAAGGCAGAGAAGCACGGATAAAACCTCTTGACAGCAAACAAAGCCAGCATCTTCCAAGTCAGTAAATGGATCCACAATAATCTGAAAACCTCTGGAGGGCAAAAGCCCAAACTGCCAATCTGAAACTTGGATTGGAATGGAAGTCCTGAGTAAGGCCAGTGGAAGAAAATGCAAAATTGCTCCAAAGGAAGAGGTGAGTGACAACAGTGAGATACAGTTAAGAACCTCCTACTCAAGATGAACGTGCAGAATCTACAAATGGAAATTCAAAAGTTAACCTTACTATGGGCAGATGAACTGAATTCAAAAAGACATTATAAAAAGTTATTATTTTTTTTTATTTTTAAAAAGTTTATTTATTTGGTGGGGAAAGGGGCAGAGGAAGAGGGAGAGAGAGAAACCCAAACAGGCTATCAGCACAGAGCCCAAAGTGGGGCTTGATCTCACAACTATGAGATCAGGACCTGAGCCAAAAATCAAGAGTTGGACGCTTAACCAACAGCCACCCAGGGACCCCTAGAAGTTTTTTAAATTATGAAATATCCATACAAATGGAACAAGAAGGTGTGAAACAAAAACAAATGAAATAAGACAAGCTATGAAGATCCAATGAGAAATATAAAAATTTTTAAGTACAGTTTCTGAAATAAACTCAAACAGGAGAAATTTTGATAATCTTCAATAAAAAGGCTTAATTGATCTGAAGATGGATTTGAGGAAGTCCTCTAGAATGCCGCACAAATAGATACAAAGATAGAAATTATACATCCCAAAAATAGGTCTAACAAGATTTCAGAAGGAAGCAATATTCAGAGAAAATGACTGTAATTTTCCAAAAGTGAAGAAATAAGTGGAATTAAAGATGTACCTCCAGGCCCAAGCTGGGTAATTAAAATAAATCCAGATGTAGAAACATTGCACTGAAATTGGAAAATACCAAACTCTTAAAAGCTACTAGAGAAAGACTGATTACTCATAAAGCAATAAGATTGACAGATGTTTCCCCAATAATAGACAACAGGGAACAATGAATAGTATATTAAGAGAGTTGAGAGAGTCTAATGGACAATCCAGCTCAAGTGAGGGCAAAATAAGGGCGCTTTCAGACAAAAAAAAGACTCAAAGAGTTCACCAATGAAGACTCTTAACGAAAGAACTACCAGTAGTTTAGCCAAAATAAAAGTGAGTCCTAAGGAAAGGAAAAATTCAAAAAAATACGTTGGCAAATTTAAATAGCTATAGTACTGACTTAAAAATCATGTGTGAACAAGGATGATGGGATAGGACATATTCAACTTGAGAAAGCATGTCAAACTCCAGTCTCATTCAAGAGGATACAATACCAAGTAACTTTAAATTCTGAGAGACAAATTGGTATTTAGTTATATATGTTAAAAATTAAAATTGTTAGCACATGTCTATTACCACATTATAAAACATTACAATGGAGAGTCTAGATAATACAGTACAAAAAAGGGAACCAGCTAGTATAATTATTAAAAAAATTAAAACTACCCTTATGTTAATGGGGTGTGACTGTTTACCTGGAAATTGAAGGCAAAGAAAAGTATTTGGTAATGTGACTGAACATCTTTTTTCTCTATATTAAAAGTACCTAGATATAGAGGTTGGGGGAAACATTATGTTCACAACAAAACAAAACCCAGGAGATAATTAGGGATGAGAAGGAATAAGACTTAAATGAAAAACATAAAATGTTACAGAAGTCACTAAAACACGATTTAAATAGATGAAAAGGCATACAAGGTTATTAGACAGGAAGACAATGTTCTATAGCACAAACCCAAAGTGAATCCTTCAGGAATGATACTCAGTCAGGACTTGCTAATAGTCAGAACTTGTTGGGAGACTGAATTTTACTTTAACTTTACAGAAATCCCTAGATAATGTATTGAGGTTTTCCATCAGTTACTTATACCTAGTGAGCAGGGAGAGGCCAGAATCTCCACGATAAAGAGGAAGGTATCAAGAGGGTAAAAATCCTCTTGAGAATAGCCAAGGGGGCTTCTCATACATGGCCAAATCTTTACCTCCTGTCGGCACCATTATTCACAGCTTACATCCTTGTGGGAACTGGGGGACACAGAAAGCCACATTTCTAAAGACTATACTGTGTTCTCATGCTATTTATAATGATTTCTCTCAGTTTCTCCATTTCTCCTTTAAAGAGCCTATGATCTTTAACGTTAGTTGCTGGAGTCTGTCACTTAAAACCTTGTCCCATTAGGATAACTATAAAAATCCTAGGTTTGTTTTTTTTTTTTTTTAAAGTATAATTAATACACAAGGTTATATTAGTTTTGGTGTAAAGCAGTCATTTAACAAGTTTATACAATTATGCTATGCTCACAAGTATAGCTACCATCTGTCTCTATACAATGCTATTACAATGTCATTGACTATATTCCTAATGCTATGTCTCTTATTCCCATGACTTCTTCATTCCGTAACTAAAAGCCTGTATGTCCCACTACCCTTCACCTGATTTGCCCATCCCCCCATCTCAGAGAAAGTTTTAGTTTAAATAGAATAAGCATGAATAAATATGAAGAAAAAAACTGCTAAGAAAAAAATATAGGTGAACTTACATTATCATATATTAGAACATTCTATAGAGTTATTGCATCAAATCAATTTGGTACTGACCTGGGAGTAAAAAAAAAATATGAGTGGAATAGAATAGGAAATCCAAAAATAGATCCAGTAAAAATAAATCTTAAACTTGTCATGAATTGGAATACCAACTATCATCTTCAAAAGGAAAACTGATTTAATAATTGGTGATGGCAAAACTAGCTAAAAAACTGGAAGAAAATAAGATTGGGTCCTCAGCTCCTATTACATGCTACAAACAAATTCCAGATGGATTAAAGACAAATGCAAAATGCCAAAAAATAAAAATCCTAAAGAAACCAAAGTGGGGGGTGCAGGGAAGCAGAAAAAGGCACACCTTAGAAAAAATTAAAACACATGTCAACAAGATACATAAGTGAAATCAATATATTTGATATATTTTGAAAACATATCTATAATCAATCTGATTTGGAAAAAGAATATCTATTATATTCCAAGAGTTTCCATAAGAAGTTGTCCAAACAAAATAAAAAGACAGGAGTATGGGTTAACAGGCAACCAAAAAGAAAAATGATCAAAGGGTGATTGAAAGAACAACTACACATGGCTAACAAACATAATAAAAGATGCTCAAACTGAACATGCGAATTAAAGCAATTAGAAGGTATCTTTTTATAGCCATTAGACTGGAAC